GATGATGATGATGATGATTTTGTTGTTGATGACGATGATAACGACAATGCAATAAGTGACTCTGATGTAGTTGGAACAAGATGAAGCGATGAGGATGATGATGATGATGATGACGCTTGTGATGATGATGCTTGTGATGATGATGATGATGCTTGTGATGATGATGATGATGCTTGTGATGATGATGATGATGTTTGTACTGACGATAATGATGACGGTGACATTTGAGTTGAGTCAACACAAGCGCTAGCAACACCACTTTTATCATTATAATCAAGAGTACCATTGTCATCAGTCTTCTTATTAATATCTTTGTTGTTCTTGTTGTTGATGACGTCATGGTCGTCGTCATCATTATTATTATTATTATTATTATTATTATTATTATTGTTGTTGTTGTTATCACTACCGCCGCCACCATCGTCATCATTATCGTCCAGTATGCAGAGTCCAGCATTGTCAAAGTTCATCTGCATATCGTACAACAATAAGTAATATTACAGTTATTATTTTAATAATAATAAAAATATTATTATTATTATAGTTTTTATTGTTGTTGTTTACATTATTAACAATGGAGCAACAACAGAAATGATAAAGCAACAATTAATATTGACAAGAAATACACCTGGAAGTTATCACCAACATCTTCTTCATCGTCGTCATCATTATTATTTTTATTATTGTTGTTATTATTATTATTATTGTTGTTGTTGTTATCAATGATATCCCTAAACCCAGCAGCACCATTGATCCTGATAACGACATTATCATCATCATCATCTCCATCATCATTCTTGCTATCAGAATTAATTATAATGGCTTCATCAGCAATATTATTATTATTATTCTTGTTGTTATTATTATTATTATTATTATTATTATTATTACTGCTGTGGTTGCTATTATCATTATGCTGAGGTAGGTTAGGTTCAATGATAATTTCTCCTAGAAAGCTCAAATGATGCATAACATTTGGGGGAAGACTTTTAGACATTTTTGCCTGATTAGTTTGTTTAGGAGACTGGCCAACAATAGGATTGTGCTGTTGCAATTGTTGTTGAGGAGTGCTTTGTAAAGAATTTTGAAAACTAGAAAAGTGTGAAGTTGGTTCTTGGTTTTTATCTTCATCAATCACGACGACCTCATCTTCTTCTAGCAAGGACACGTGAAGCTGCTGTGAAATGAATGATGGATTTTTCCGACTAACCGACTGACTTCTCAGCCTGACTAAAGAAGGAGCTCGATGTCCTAATCGAGGTTGAAGTGGGGTCGACTGTGAAGGAATAAGTGGTCTTGTGGTAGTGGTTTGAAGTTGGCAACATGCCTGTCATCCTTAAATGTTGTTGAATTTGTTGCATAAAATCATTTCTTTGAAGTTGTAGTTGCTGATGTTGTTGGATTTGTATGTGTTGTTGTTGCTGCTGAAGTTGCTGTTGTTGCAGATGTTGTCTGTTCTTCATTCTTGTGTTGGCAATTGCATTGCTATGCATAATTACGTCTTTGTTGTTGTTGTTATTATTATTATTTAAGGAATTTTGAAAACTGTTATTGATATTATTATTGATATTATTGTTGTTGTTGATAGCACTGCTGTGGGTACTGTGACTGTCTATGGTTTTAGTCAGATCAACGACAGAATAACTATTATTATTAATTAGAGAAGCAGGCATAAGTGAAGTTGCACCAATGGGGACCTGTTTCGGCGGTTTAGTAACTGAAACGGTACTCGTGACGAACGTATTAGACGTGTTTAGAGTTTCGTTGATGTGTACGATGAAAACGTCGCTCCTGTCTAGCGTTATGCCTAACAAACCCTGAACCGTCAGTTCAGAGTTGTAGATGAGTCCGTTTTTGCATAACAATGTTATGGTGTCTGTCAGTAGTTTAACCACTCTTTCTTGGTCCGCTTTCATTTTTTTGTTTAACTAAAACTGTGGTTTTGAATAAATTTTTTAAATTTTCAAATTTGATATTCATGAAAAAAACTCGAATTAAACTTTAAAGTTAAACAAAAAAAGATATATATATATATATATTCACAAAGGTATTGACTAGTAGCCGCGATGACAAATATTATAGAATTTGATACAACGATTTTTGACTTGGGAAAGCCTTGCGAACAACATCCCAATGTTCATTGAAAACTGTTAAAATAGTTAGCAAATCTAAAAAAATTTACTATTTAACATAAAAATTTTTTATGTTTATTTTATATACACTTACATTTTATAGACATTCATAATCAATTAATGTTAATTTCAAATTATGATAAATCTTTAACCCAAAATTAAAAATGTAGTTTTGGTTAGCCATAATTTCCTTTTTTCCTTTGAGTCCAACAACACAAGTTTTGAGTAAATTTATTTTTTTTTATTTGAAAATTTGTCGTTTTAATTGAATTGAATTAAAAGCAAATATGATTTATTTTTGTAATCTAGAGCCGATTACTTTTTTTCAATCAGTTTTTTAATTTAAACGTGGTAGCAATCTTGAACCCAAACGACTAATTCATCGGTTTGGTCTATTTTTAAAGGTAAAATTGGGCTTTTAAGGCCTCTTAGTAGGCTTAGCCACCTTAGTTTAGTGCGAATAATAAAACTTAGGAAAACAAAAAGGTGAACAATGTACTCTTCTCTCAATAACGATTTAAAGAAATCGTCTGAAGATGAAGATGGATTTGATCAACTGAATGATGAAACATTTGGAGATTCTTCAAATAGTTAGAATCTTTTATCTTTTTTAGATTTGTGAAATTTGATTATTAGCTGATATTTTTATCAACCAACAAAATTTAATTAAAATTTGTACTAATTGAACATTTGCTAATTCTCCTTTTTTTCATAAACCATAGATTTTGGTGACTGGGAAAATGAACATGAGAAGTTTGCGGAGAATGACAAATCATTTTATGCCCCAGACATGTCATCCTTATATCACCCTTTCACGTCCCCAATCCTCTATACGCCATCTTTTACTGTAGAACTGCCTGACAGAGAAGATGATGATTACATATTTCAGGAGGTCTAGTGCTATCTATATATTTCAAATTTTCCAAATTTAACTTTTTTTTAAATATACCTTCTTAATTTTGTGTTTATTTCACTGATTCTACACAACACTTATTTAGTCTGAGATGGAATTCCAGTTGAGAAAATTAGTGAATGACGACGATGATGATGGCAGTTGCGTTGGGGAAACAAATCTTAATTCGGTAAATAACCTTTTATGCATATATTCGTGATTAATATATAGATTATATATGTGAGTACACACCAATTTACCGAAAGACATTTCTTCATGTAAAGACATATATATATGTATATATATATATAAAACCAAAGGTATATATATAATTTATGCAGACTGGCATCTGGGGAATGCCTATTTTTCCTGACATCCAACTGCAGTTAGAAAATTTTAAGGTACCAATGACAGCAGAAAATTTTTTTATAAAAATTTAAAATTTCTATTATAATTATGATGTCTGCAGTTATAAATTTAAGCTACTTGTAATGAACAATCATAATACTAGCAGGACCCACATTTAAAAGCTCTAACTCTTGAAGAAGTCGAACAATCTATGTTTGGACAGCCAATGATGAAACAACATCCTCACCACCACCACAATAATAACATCAATTACGAAGTTAGCGATGGTAATCATGCTGGCTGTTGTAGCAACTATGACTGCTCAGCTACCGCTGCTTGCTCAGCTACTACTTCAGCTGTGACAGCTGTCGCTAAGCAACCAATGATGATGATGATGATGTCTTCTTCGACGATGACATTGGAGGAATTGGAAAAGATGATGATGCGAGAAGATGAGGTAATGATGCCGTTTGTGATGGGGATGAGTTGTTAGTGAATTTGACTGATGATAATGTACCTTTTTTACCATTTCCAGGTTTTAGAGAGAAGCAAGCCACCACCACTATCATCATCTGCATCAGCGACAACATCTCCACAAACATCATCGTCATTGCTGACAATTCCACATTATGCCCAAGCGCCGTCATCGTCATCACTACCACAGCCGACAATGTTTCTGCAGCAGCAACAACAGCAGAAACAACAACAACAAAAGAATGCATTACAACAACAACAACAAACGAATGCATTGCAGCCATTTCAACAACAGCAACAACATTCACAACAGCAGAGATTATCACCAGCAAATGAGCAACAAAGTCGGCAGCAGTCGACTCAGCAGGTGCCAACTCCACAACCGCCTAAACAGACACCAGCCCCGTTAGACCCGCAACGACAACAGCAGCAACTTACTATGATCCAACAACAGCACCATCAGCAATTACAACAACTTCATTTGCAACACCAACATCTGCAACATCAATACATGAAACAAATGTATCAGCTCCAGCAAAATTTCATCAGACCAACAGCATCAATGATGATGATGATGGCTCAACAAAGAGATGGTTTTTATTTTGTTGTTGTTGTTGTTAGTGCCTTTGTTATATGTTACTGTAACTCTTGTGTTTTTTATTTATCACATTTCAGGTAAACTTCCTCTTCCTACAACTGCACAACAACAACAACAACATCAACACCTTTTGTTGAAACACCAACAACAGCAGCAACATCAACTGTTGCTGAAACAGCAACAACAGTTGCATCAACAATATCAGATGAAGTTTCAGCATTTGGCCATGTTGCAGCAACAAATTTTTACAAAACTTCAGCACATTCAACAACAGCAGCAACAACAGCAACATCAACGACATCAACGACAACAACAACAGCAGTTTCCATTACACCTTCAGCAGAACTTCCAGCAACAACAAATGATTCTTATGAAGATGCAGAATCACCAACAGCTTCAGCAACCTCAGTACCTGCCCCACCACAGCCAGCACCAACCACAACAACATCATCACTACTTGCAGCAACAGCAAAAACAACTTCAAAATGTGGACCCCAGCTATTATGATGGACTGATGGAGAAGAAGGAGAAAGAATGGATAATTAAGATTCAGCTGTTGCAGCTTCACAGCGAAAACCCATTTGTGGATGATTACTATTACACTGTTTGTACTTTGCTGATAATGATGATGATGATGATGTGATTGATGATGATGTAGGGATGGGTGGTTTCTGTTTTATTATTGATCAGATGCTAATGTTTTCATGATATTTTAATTCCTTTTATCATCGTCATCATCATCACTACTATCACCATCATCATCGTCATCATTACTACTACTACAACTATCATCACAATCATCATCATCATCGCCAGTGTTGGTCAATGAAGAAGATAATGAGAGAGAACAGACAGTTCAAGAGAGAGAATTTGAAGAGTATGATGAAACCCAGCACCAACCTATCCCTAGACGACGAAGACGGTGCTGATGATGATGATGATGATAACGTGGCTGTTAGTAATGATAACGAAGATGATCGCCATGTTGGGAGCGAGGACGACGACGACGATGATGATGATGCGAAAGTTGAAAAGTTACTTGTGCCTAATAACGAAATTAGTGAATCTAACAAGCCTTATAAACCGAGTATGCTTTGATTGGTTTATTTGAATGCTGGTTTTTTGTGATTGGTCAGTTTTCTTGCTGGTTGATTTTGATTGGTTGCCTGCTGTGGGTCATCTTCTTTAGGTTGATTGGCTGTTTTTTATATAAACCATTTTGTTAATTGGTTGACAAGAGTTTGATTGGTTTGTTAGTTCTTTAAAATTTTGTAGCATTTTGTTTGATCATCCTTAATCATCATCCATCTTTTTTGATCTATGATGAATGGTCAAAAAACAGCTCAGTACGAAGGCTCGTTAGGGAAGTTGACAGTTTCGAGCATCAACAAACCGAGACAGGTTCTCGAGGTTCACCTGACGCCGACCAGTGATGAACTGAAGAAACAGGATAACAAGAAGTTTAAGGAGACGTTGGCCAAGATTGAAAAGGTGAGGAGTTATTCAAGCTGGCTGTGGATGTTTCATCTTTTTAACAATTATATAATAATGATGATGAATGATGATGATGACGACGACGAGTCGGTCGCTGATGAGTAGTTACTGACTGTTGTGAAGATAGTTAGCTACTTGTTAATACTGACTACTTTACAGTTGTTATGATGAGATTGCTAATAATAATTACTTGATCTTCAAATAGTCAGTCAGTGGTTGACTACTATGCAGTTCTTGGGAGGTAGTTAATGGTTGCTTTTTCTAACAACTCTCGTTGAAAGTAGTTAAGAACTAGCTTCTAACAATCTTTTTACAAGTAGTTGACTATTTTTTGGGACTGGCCAGCCAGCAGGCAAGTGATGGCAGGAATGATGGAACGTAATTTTATTTGACAGGGTTTTGATGTTCTGCTGCTCGTCGATGAGTTAGAGAAGAAAGCCACGAAGCAATCACTCAACGAAAGGTTTCATAATCATCATTATTTTAAGCAATTATTTTTCTAACAATCTTATCCACCTTTTGCAATTTTCCATAAATTTTACCGACTTTTTCATGCTACAGAGAGATAACATGCAAAAAATCGGCGGAATTAGTTATTAACTTAGCAGCAAGCTTCCTAACCAACAACAGTTCAACTCTTCAGCAGATTATTTTGATTAGGAAAGGTGCTGGGTTAGTTATTAAACTATTGCCTCTCATGTTTCAACAAATTAGCAACAAAAATGACATCATCCACAACGACAACAAACCACAATTTGATGTCGATGGTCCGAGCAACAACGTCTGTGAGCACAGCTGCAGTAATCTTGTGATGGTCCAGGAAATAGTGGCTAAGTTGCTGGAGAAGGCTTCTACTATATCAAAGAAGGATTGGTTCTCTGAGGTACCATTTGTTTCTTTCTCTCTCTCTCTCTCTCTCTCTCTCTCTTTATATCTTTCTATCTTCCCTCTACCTACCTACCTATCTATCTATCTATCTATCTATCTATCTATCTACCTACCTATCTATCTATCTATCTATCTATCTACCTACCTATCTGTTTCTCTAGTTACCTACTCTACATCTCTTTCTGTCTCTTTCCTGTTATTAACTCTTAAATACGTTAATAAAAATGCTTCTAAGTAATCTGCTAATTGGATTTAAATGATTCGATAAGTTTAAGAGAAAAACTTTCCCCCGCAAGATGTCACTGAAGTTGTATCATTGCCTGGAAAATGTGATAACTTTACCGTCGTGCAGCGACGTATCGACATTAGTTAGATACTCGACTGTCCTCTGTAGGAATTTACGCGATGATGGTCTAACTAATCACCTGGCAGTGTTATTAGGATGTAAAGTTAGTAAGTTGGGGATTTTCGGGTGTCCAGGGTTGAGCTGTGCGTAAAAATAAAATTTAATTAGAGATTTGTAAAATGAAGAGAATGGATTTGGGATTGAATTAATGGATTGTTGGATGAAGTGATGAGGATGTTTATGAAAATAAAATTAATTGTGAATTTGTTAGATAGATGGAAAGAAGATTGGATTAGTAGATGGATGGATAAATATCATTGATGGATAGGTGAATGGATTCATAGTGGATGAATGTGTATGAATGGATGAATGCGTATGAATGAATGAATGAATGAATGAAGGATACAGTCACCCATCAAATATTTGATAATTCTCAACACGCACACACAACAAACACAGTTTGCAGTCTCGGTAATAATCTGCTTGATCTCATCCATGGAACGTCAGCTCAGCAGTGACGAAAAATTATCTGAAAACGATCAGATAAACATCAACAACAACAACAACAAACCCGACCTGAAACAATGGTTTGTTGATGTTTATATTTCATTCATTTATTCATTCATTCATTTTTTCAATTACGTTTCTGTGTTATTTATTTTTCATCAAGGGAGCAATTCATCAAGGCCATATACGACTGCATTCTCGGCACTCCCAACTTGTCCATAGAAAAACCTCACAAATCTCAACTGAAGTGCTGCCAACAGTTCCAAAATTGCTCCAACGTCACATCACCGCACCATCACAACAACAACAATCTTCTAGACCAGCAGCAAATCAGTAACAACACCCAGCAACAACAACAACATCCTCACAATGACGTCATCGAATATCAGCGGACCCCAAACAACCTTTCGTCGACTTTGAAGCAGCATTTCTCGAGATTCATCATTGACGACGAAAAAAACGTCGATTTCGTCTGTCAAAAGTTCACCTTTAAACGTAAAAATAACAAAAATCATAAAACCATCAAGAGTTGTAACAACAATAATAATAACAATAATAATAATAATAACATTAACTGTAACATTAGTAATAATAATAATATGGTTGCGGTAGTTGAGAGTGATAACAATGGTTCTATAACTCGAGTTGATTAAAACCATTATTATTATTATTATTTATTTATTACTTTTATTATTATTATTATTCTTAGTAGTAGTAGTATTACCACTACCTGTGCATAAAACCCTTGTATACTTAAGAAATGATTTAATTGAAATGGATTTCGTTTTCAATGTTTTAAATTATATTATATTAATATGGATTATTTTAAGATCAATGTTTTTGATTGGCCCTTAGTTTTATTCATTCATTCATTCATTCTTTCTTTCAATGTTTCGTTCGTTCATTTCAATCTTTCATCTATAAGACTTCATTCATTCAATCGTTTACTCAATCAATCATTCTTGTAAGTTATTTATTCATTTGTTGTTTGGTTCATTCAATAAGTTCTTTCATTGGCTTGTTCGTTCGTTCGTTCATTCATCTATTTTATATTCATTTAGCAATTAATTAATTAATTAACCAATTAATTAATTCATTCATTCACTAATGCATTCATGCATCCATTAAAGCGATTGAATGAATTTTAATTTTACATTCAAGCTAACTAGCATGGCGTACGTACTGAACGTACATGCTAGCTAGTAAGTTACTACAAGCTAGCATGCAAATATCTCCTTTTAATAACGAAAAAATTGACATAGCTTGCAATGGCGACAACGATTACTATGAATCGTAATATAAATATGATCGATAATATTATTAATACATTACTAGATGTAGTAGTAGTAGTAGCAGCAGAAGTTTTAGTAGTAGTAATAATGGTACAAGCAAAAGTAAAACTACAGAAATGTGAGTGGTAGTAGTAGTAGCAACAGTAGTAGTAACGAAAAGATTTTGGGATCTAAATTAATTTTCTGCGAATTTTAACTGATAATATTTCCAACCTAACATTTTCAACGCTGGGTTGATTGGTTGATCGAGTTTTAACATTACTTACCATTATGTTTTCTTTTCGTTTGTATTCATTTGAATTTGTACGTATGTATAAATGGATGTATATGTATGTATGTATGTACATATGTATGCACGTACGTATCTGTGCTAGTGCATATTTGAGTCTTTGTGTATGTGTGTGTACACGCGCGCGTGTGTGTGACAATGATGACGAATACGAACAATATAATAAACACTAATACTTAACAACTACACTCACTCGATGAAATTGTACATTACCCAAAATATAGATATAGATAAAGACAGTTAAGTTAATGAACGTATAAGCAGATAATCATATACATGTGTGTGTAAAAGTTAACTCACCGAATTCGGATTATAATTATAAAATTACTGTTTTAAATATTGAAAAGCCCAACCGTAAACTTTCAAAAGCTAAAAATTCGGTAGATTTGATCAATTATGGTCTTCCAGCCATATATATATATATGTGTGTGTGTGTATGTGTGTATATATATATATATATATATATATATATATATATTAATTATAATATATATATAATAGTTTAAAAGGAAAATGAAATGAAACTTTAAAATCCTAAATATATATTTGTGCGTTATTATGCAGAATCATCCTTACAAAAAATAAGTTCTAACATATAAATAGTTAAAATATGTCACAATACATAGTTCAATATAAGATTGTATGTACCATCCTTTGAAACAAAGTTTAAACAAAAAAAAACAAACATATCTTTGAGATAATGTTACCGTAAGTAGGTATAAATATATATTATCGTCGTTGCATAGGCTGTTTAGTATATGGATCATTATTGCCGTGAAACTATTTTTGGTGAAAAAACCAACAAATAAATCGAAGTGCCTAACATTACTAACCGGATATAAACTTTTCAGCAATAAAAGGCGCCATTTTAAAGTTTAAAATAGTTTATATGTAAGTTTAAAGTAAAATTCCTATACAATCAATTAAACAAAAAGCAGGTAAATAATTGGCTAAAATAAGTTTTATAGATGGTAATTTTAACGAGACAAAGATGTTAGTATTTTAAAATCTTACTCGTTAACAAAGATAATAAAACTTCTAATAAAAATTATTTCAGGCTACGTCATCACGACCTGGCTGCTCTCTGTGTGGGTTCATTGATTGGCTGATCTTTCATCCAATAGGAAGCCGACCTCATATCCATTATTCTAGAAACCACCCGATCAAACGCGAACGTTTCTTCCTCACCGGTAAACAAACTCGCTAATTCGTCCCTGGAACCCTGGCGGGGGGCGTGGTTTAATTAAAGATGTTACCTAACGTGGTTGGTTGAAAGTATTATTTGGTGATTTTCATTGGTTAAAAGACGACGATAAAAGATAATGACGATGTATGTTTGGTTGTATGTTATGAAATATGTAACTTCGTTGAATGTTAACTGAAGAATCGTGCTGGTTTGATCTCAGCCAACAAGAGACTAACTAACTTTCTTAATGTTCAAATCACCAATGATGACTCTCATGTTGTGTTTGTCCTCCTCAGTGATTCCGCCTGCCACGAACAAGTCGTCTAACCCCGTTTCAGCTGAAAATATGGCCTTCACCTTGTGAGGAAGAAAGTTGAATTTTGAAACGAAATTCGATAAATAAACTGTAAAATAGGATTGTAAAAAATTACTTTAAAACGGTGAAGGAGAACATAAATGAATGGCATTATTGCGGCAAAGGAGGTAAGGTAGTTGCGTGTTACTGTAACAAGAAAGTAAATCAGTTACGTTATTGTCGTAAAGAGTGTCGATGAGCGTGATGAATCGTCTCGTCTCGCTCCTCATCGTCAGGGACATCTGCGGGATGTCCCGGATCAGGACGACTCGAAAGTTTCGACATATCTCCAAGTAGTCAACCGCACCTAGAGGCTGTTCGGTGTTGATTGGTCGGTTGAAATGTTGGCTTGTTTCTAGAGTGGACGGTTGAAAAAAAGGATTCAAACAAACAACCAATCACAAGCCTGGATATAAATAACTAAACAATCATTCAGAAATAAAAAAACCATCAAAATGCTGGGATATAGATAGATCTAGTGAATGACTTTGACACGCAAATCTTAAAACATTCAAAAAACAAAGAATTAATGAGATGTCGAGATATAAATAAAACTACTAGATAATGACCCTGGCACACAAATCTTGAAAGGTAGTGTCGAGTATATCCCCACATGTCTTCTCGAAAGTTAAAAACCGCCCCATCACTTCGATCGTTCGCTTCTCTTCAACTGTCACAAAATATATCACAAAACAAAAATAAATTAAGCTCTACATAACAATTAAAAATCTTGAAAAAATCATCATTTGTGCAAGACAATAAAATTTATTATGTTTAAATTTTAATTTCATAAAATCAATTTCACTTTTAATTTGATTCATGAGATTAGGATTAGTAGATCAAAAGAAGATCAAAAGAATGAAAGATTACAAATTAAAACGTTATAAAACTGACCGCCGGCTGACCGACTGACCAGCTCATCATATGCCTTGTCCATTTGGTATTTTGTGTTGCATTCAGTGGCCCTGTTTTGTATCATTATCATTTAATACTGCGACTCATTATTTGTCTTATGGCTTATTATTATTCATTAAAACAAATTATTCTAGTTTGGTTCTGTTATAAAAAAATGAAAGTTCAAAATGAAAAGGTACTAAATATTAATGTTAGTAAGATTAGATACATGTTGCTTTGTTATTTTTATTATTCTTATTATATTTTCTTCATGGTTAATTTTTATTATAATTTTCATAGAGGTTAGTTAGATATGACATACGAGAAGTATGTATCGCCATCAGCTGGTATGGCGAGTCGTCTGTAATCAATTGAGCTAAGATTGATGATTCTACAGTTTGCCTATACAGAATAAAAACTTTGAATTAGCTTGATGTTTAACATTCAAAGAACTCAGAGTGAATAGAAAGATAAATGAAAATGAAATTAGATTAACGTCTAGTATTCTTGAAGACAATTAAGCAACACTTTGAATGAATGAATGAAATTTATTTAATATTTTTAATTTAACAATAAAAAATAGGTACCTTTAACAGTGAAATGAATGGTAGAAAATGGAACCTTTGCAGACCATTTTTATATAAATCTAAAGTTAAAAAATTTGGATTGCAAAGTATCATAAATGATGAAGTCAGTTTAGAAAATCTAACATGTATTTCATATTACGTTTACAGCACTATGCTAGATAATCTTTCAATAATATAATTATAATATAAATAAATATTATTATTATTATAAATATAAT